GGGGGGTGGGAAGGGAGAGGGCCATGTTTTATTCATGTAAGCATCACTTATTGACAGACTTTTCGAAGACTTATCGAAGACTCGCGGCTCGGTAAATATTCCACCCATGATCACTTCGCCTGCGCCTTTTGCGAATAATTGTTAAATAACCTGAGTATCAAGCTTTCCACATCCCTGGGGCCTCGATTTACACAGGTTAAAAAATATGGTTAGAAAGTCCTGAGTAGAAAGGCGATGAAACCTCAATTTCGTCGGCTAACTATTGCTATGTTTGGTTTTCAGATTATTTGACTTCTATTTTCATATGTCTCTGGCTTTATCAGGCCAAAAACTTATAAGGGAGTTAGAATATACAAATTAGGAGTTTTCGGATAACTTTGGAATTGCGAGTTTGGTTTCAATTAGATGGCCACTTCTCACATCTCAAACTTCTTGCAGAATTTACTGTGCTTCAGGGGAAATTTACTGAATCTTTCTGGCAAACAGAAAGTCTGGAGAATTTTTGAACTGGGAGGACGTGATTACTGAAAATAAGTTGTCAGAAAAACAGAGTTTACTATTCCTTAACATCGTACAAATGGCTTCTACTTGTTTCAACCCCCTTACGAGTTTGTGATCAGGCCATCAGATTCCATGCTATTCTCATGTCATCGTTTATTTACGTGATAGGTATATGGAATGTTCTACAGACGATAGTGCTGCAGTCAGGTATATATTCAACGAAACAGTTCGCTTCTGTTTCATGGATCGCATGGAACTCTCGCAGCTTCACCCAGACTACGTGAGATTTGGTACTACGCTCCTTCACCAAGCAGTGCAGGTCAATCATGAGCCTTCTGTCGAAGCTCTTGCGTATGTCATGGATATAAACGTCAAAGACAAAGCAGGTCGTTCTCCTTTAGATCTTGCACTTCGCAATTCCAACACTGCATCAGCAAGGTGTTTGATCAAAAATGGCTGCGTAGTTGGGCTTTCTAACGAGGACTGGCGAAAACGTTGTGAATTCTGGATTGACAATTATGAGAGGTTGAACAAAGTTCATAAGAATATAAACGAGCTCGCAGGAAAGCTGTTGAATTTGTATGCAAGTTTACAAGATCCGTTACAGTCAAATCTTATCGTGATTGGTCAGCATGGGATCGAGGTTTCTAACTTTTTAATGAAATCAGCACCTTTCATTTCAATCCAGACTATAGCTATTATCAACTGTCAGGGTTCTTGCAGTTTAAATTTCTCTCATCTGAATTACTCGCTACGCACTCTCACCATTACAAACTGTGATATTGGAGGGGAGATTCCGAATTCGATTTTCTCGATCATGAATTTGGAAGCTCTTTCATTGGTCGACAATAGCATCACATCTGTGCCTGTTGGATTGTCAAAGCTCAAAAGCCTACGACGCCTGCGGTTAAGCCGGAACAAAATAAAATCACTACCTGATGCCATTAGCGGGCTTGTCAAGCTAAGGTTCCTTTTCTGTGATAATAATCTGCTAGAACGATTACCAGACCAAATAGGATGCCTCGGAGATCTAGAAGTCCTAGATATATCACAAAATAAGCTTGAAAAGTTGTCGGTATCGCTGGGTCTACTGACGAAATTGAAGTGCCTGAAGTATTCTGACAATCGCTTGATTTTTCCRCCAGCAGAAGTAATAAAGCAAGGTTCAGATGAAGTATTAGAGTTTTTGAATACATTCCTTGATGAACCCGTTCGAAACACACAAGTGAAGGTTACATTTGTGGGCGGTGAAGGAGTTGGTAAGAGCACTTTGATATCAGTTCTGAGGTCAAAGAAATCCAGTGTATTGACGTCAACGGATAAGACATATGGTATTGAGATTTCTGACTTTGAGTTGCATCATGCATTGAAAATGAAAGTGTTTGATTTTTGTGGTGACCCGGCGTTTTTAGTCCCACATTCATTATTCATTACGGAAAACAGTTTGTATCAAGTGTGTTTCGATATGAGTCAATACGCCATCAGCAAAGCCGCAGGTTTAACAATAAATCAACTTGGAAGATTGCAGTTATGGCTGGAAATCATCCACTCACGAGCACCGGCTTCCCACGTGATAATCGTTGCCACTAATGTGGGCCACCCGAATCTAACCGATGATCTTCGTAATCGTGTCCGAGAGGACGTCGAGGAAATGATTTCCCGATACCGAGAGGAACACAAGAAGCAGTTTGAAGGCGAATCTGTTGCACAGTGCGCGCTCTGTGATGGAACGCATTTGTGTGATGTCAGTTCCTCACATTTCTATATTGAAGAAAACAGCTCCCGAAGTACTTATCCATCAGCGAAACCTGAGCCCTGTGTGCCTCACATAGTTGGATATTATGAGGTGAGTTGTAAGGAACAATATCCTAAAGTCTTATTGGGCACCAAGAATATCAGTCTACAAAAGTACAAATGCAATTTGTCGATGAAGATGGATATTTTGCTTAGCACTGGGTACTTAATTCCGCACAAATGTCTTTACATTCGAGACAGAATTCTAGAGATTTTGAATAGCGATCAGCACTTGCAAGAACAACCAATATTTACCCTAACAGGGGTACGGGAAATCGCCCTTGGATGTGGAATGAAAGACGAGTTTAAACTCAAGGCAATGCTGAGGTATTTTCATAATCAAGGAGAGTTTCTTTGGTTTGAAGACATTTCTGAGCTGGATGATGTTGTTATCGTAAAACCTCAATGGCTTGCTGACAGGTTAAGATCACTATACCTACCACATGAAGGATCCAACTTCATTAACGACGGGATCCTTAGGACCGATTATCTGGAAAAGATTTGGCCTGATTTAAGCAAAAGCGAGACGGCTCCTTTTCTTTCACTTTTCAGAGGCTTGGGTCTCTCTTTTCCGTGCTCAGATGTAGAAGAGTTGTTTCCCAACCTCCTTCCTCACGGTTATCCTGATAGAGAGTGCTGGCCTAAACAGCCTTTACCAGGCAGCTATCAGATTACTGTTGAATTTTTCTTTAGTTTTCTACCCCCGTCTTTCTTTAGTGACCTCATCATTGCAGCAAACAAACGAGAGTTAATTTGTCCAGATCTTGCAGAACCGTCGTATTTTAGGTTCAACTTGGTATTTGCCACGAACCTTAAAGCCTGTGAAGGCTGTATGATACATAATAAGGAAGCCCAACTCAATCCACTACAAGACAGTTCTTCTGACCAGAAGCATACTGTCCACCTGGAGTCTTTGCCACAGGATAGAACAATTAGAGCCACAGTACGTGGACCATCGCCATGTTGTGTTATGCCAGAAATACGGGTGGCTATTAAGTCCGTATCTGACGTCTTTTACCAGGGAATTAAGTTTATTGAGACATTTGTCTGCCCTACTTGCGAAATCACCAAGTTTATAACATCCAAGAAACCGCAGTATATTTTGAAAATGAAAGATGAAGAAAACATCTGTGACAGAGGACATTCAGTCGGTAGTAAAGTTGATATTGTGAGTGGTCGGATACCATTAGAAGTCCATCTCACCGTYGTCAAACCAAAGACAGCTATTGGAGCAGCAGTTGAGAATAGTCGCAACGTCCTCGATGATTGGTGCTGTCCCAAGCTCTTCATCGTCCTGCCAATCGGATTCAAAAGCCCTCCATTTCGTGATTGCATAGTTATGGATCACGTGACAGATGGCCATGCAGTTCACTTTCTCTGTGAATGCCCTGGGTATTGGCATTTGATAGCAGCCCCTGGCTATCGCGTACGAAACCTGAATGAGTTCTTTGAAATATTTGGTCCTCGCATTTGCAAATTGATGAAGTTGATCTTCATGACTGGTGAAGATAATAGCGAGACACACACCTACGCTTCCCTTAAGGATATTTTGCTTAAAATAGTCATTGGAGATCCATCTCTTAAAGAAATAATGATTGAAGATATCAGATCAATTCTTGATCATTACTGTAATATTTATCCTAATCTGATCCAAGGGTGCTCTTCCTTTCTCTACGAAGATGTTGAGTATTTGGTCTCTGGCAAAGATCTAAGCCGCGCCAAGCTAGCCCGTCTCCTTGAAATATTTCCCGAAGGAAGAAATTTTGGCCCTCTAGTTTGTACGTACAGTGAAAGACACAAAGAGAAAATGTGGCTTTGTAGAAAGCATGCTCAGCCAGTATCAAGAGGAAATCAAGGATGTCATTAAACCTCAAGTACATGAAGTAGTTTCATCGAAATTATGGGGACAGCATTGCATATCACTTGGGCCCAATCCACGCTTTTCCGGAAATTTGTGTATCCGCAAATTTTTTTTTTTTTTTTGCGGATACGGGTTGCGTCCACACGTGTCCGGAAATTTTTGTATCCTTATCCGGAAATTTTCGAAAACGGTCTCTAGAGTGCAAATTTTCGAATACGCTCACGTAAAAACGATTTTGCGCATGCTCAATAAGAAAGACTATCCGTCAAAGGGACTAGGCACTAGCGTGCATCAGGGCGAATCAAGAAATTTCCGGATATGTGTGTACAGTGAAAACGATTCGAATACGCTGCGTGTGGACGCTAACATTTTCGTATCCGCAAAAAAAATTTGCGGATACAAAAATTTCCGGATACGTGTGGACGGGGCCTTAATTTACTGATAAACCACCGACTGCATTCTCTAAAGTCATACAGTCAATATCAGCTATATACAGCTATTTCAAAAAGGTTGAATACTGAATACTGAATAGTGCATTCCAAGACCAAAGTACATTGTGGGTCATTGTGTTATTGGGTAAAAAAATCGTCCTTTTTTCACGAGGGTAGCACTTAATAGCCAGTGTCTAACAAACCTGTGGCCCTCATTCCATGATCGAATTGGAATTTAGGAGTTGATTTTTGCGGAGGGAGGAAAACCGGAGAACCCGGAAAACCCTCGAAGCACAGGAGAGAACCAACAAACAACTCTACTCATATACAACACCGAACCCGGCGGGACTCGAACTCGGGTCGCATTGATGAGAGGCGAGCGCTCACACCGCTACGCCACCCGTGCTTTCCAAAGAAGGATTACTAATAATTATTTATTCTTTTTTAGTATATTCCATCTGAAACAATATACTAACTAAATGTAGAGAATAAATTGTTTTAGCATATACCAACTTGTGTACTTCCTAAGAACGCGCGCGCTCATTGGTTAATTGGAGGTGAATATTGTACGATATTCACCTCTGAATCTCGGAATATTGAGTCGGCAGCAAAATGGCATCCGCCGGCAATCGTTTTGCTACAATTTCCGATGAGAAAAATGAAAGTAAATGCCATTCCTATCAATACTAAAAAGGCAACGAAGTGTGGCCTAAAAGTTTTGCTAAAAGTTTTGCGTGTATTTGTCACGCAAACTAAAAGTTTCTGTTTGTTTGTTTTTATTGAATTATTGTATATAAAAATAAGTTACTCTGTGCACAAGTTGGTATATGCTAAAACAATTATTCGCCTCAGGCTCAGTGAATATGGAGATTATTTACCGATATTCCCCGATATTCACTTCGCCTTCGGCGAATAATTGCTAAGTATTTTTACTTTTTATTTCAAATTAACGAGACCCACAATGCCCTTTGGTCTTGGAATGCACTATTCAGTATACAGTATTCAGTGTTCAACCTTTTTCGAAATAGCTGTACACCTAATTGAAAAAACGTTGTTGGGTTCAAAAAAAGGTTATATCATCAAAGCTAAGACCGAAGGGSAGCATGGGAAGACAAACAATTATGCTAATTTCATGCGTATTGCAGTTTTCCCTTCCTGTGCACATTTTATGCATCATGGCTTTGGCATTTTGTTAATCTAGGTCGGCCGACTTTGCTCTAGTGTGCATTTTTACTTGTCTATATGTAAATATAATACACATTTCGGAGTACCCAAAATCCTTTTCGGTCTTAGCTTCGATGATATGACCTTCTAGAACCCGACTACGTTTTTTCAATTAGGTGTATACTGTTTCATCGTTTATTTGTTGGGACAAACGAAGACTTTTATTTGATAACCCCGCAAATCTCTGCTTTATAAATTTCCTCGTGTTTGCTCCCTCGGCATCCCATAATTCAAGATGGCCGACGTATCAGTAAAATGGTCTATTAGAGAAGGTCGCAACGATATAAAATTTTACAAAAAATTGCACTTTTTCCAGCATATTTTCTTCTGTACTGAAATTATTTACATATGAATATAAACCATAACAAAACCTTCATCAACCTCCTTTGGAATAGCTGTATATAGCCAAATATGATTAACCCAGGTGATTTCATATGCTTGAGTGTCCACCCAAACAATGGGTAGTTTTCCAAGGTTTTTTTGGTAGTTATCGATTTTTTTATTAATGTACCTTTAGTATGAATAGCTTCTAAGACAGACATTCACAATTTTCAGCAATCGGTGTCTGTTCCATGTTTTGTATCAAAAACTCATTTTAGCTTGTTCGACGTAGCAACAGTAACTAGGGAGGTAGAATAATGAATGCAGGATCGGTAGCCAATCAACGAACTTTTGTTCATAGCTCAATATTTTATAGTTTAGCATGTTTCTTCATTTTTAATGGAAATTATTTCATTTAATTTTCATAAGAGAAAACACAGAAATGTTTGGTTGAGACAAACAAAAAGTATGCTTTTGGCGCCTTTTTGCAGACAGCAGAATGGCAACTGTAGTTAATGGGACAAATTGCCCCAAACAGCACAACACTACAAACAAAGTATCTATATATTTGATGCAAGAATTAAAGAAGCGCAAAGCAGAATCAAAGTTGCGATAGTGTTTATTAGAACACACTAGGAGGGAAGTTCTATTGCAGGCTCAGCACTGTCTTGATTATATCCATCTTGAAATCACTGGTGATTTCTGAAGCAATCTGATTGGCTATCAACAGTGCGATATAATCAATAATCGCACGATTTCGAGTTTCGAATCGCACTGTTTTGAAGAACCATTTAATGGCATTTGACCAATCAGTTCACAGAACTGAAAAAGTCAAAAAAACTGAAGGGGATTTTCTAGGTGAAAGACAGTTTTACGTAAATGTAAAATTTAAAATGTGTATTACATTAATGCAGGAGATTTCAAAATGGGTATAAATAAGTGGTAATTGAACTGAGTGGAGTAGGCAATTTGGGTCTGAAATCAAACTGTTGTGATCAACGCGGCTGTGCAATTTTGTGATCACTCGTTTCATACTAGATAAAATTGCACTCCATTCAGTTCAATTAATTCTTTTCACACAATGTCAGGAAAGGATTAAAGGTTTCAAAAATGATAAAGCGGCCTTTTCGTTATGACGTAATGGTGACATCATAGAAATCGTTTACCGCTTATTTTCTCGAAAACTAGACCTAAACTTTCAAAGCGATTTTCACCAGTCGATAGTGTTCATCAGGGCACCCAACATATTGCAATGTGAAAAAAATGTTTGAGAGCGTTTTCCAAATATTACGCGATGAATATTTTCATGGACTTTTACTATTATTWCCAGCGTGTCAAATTTATACCCTCAAAATCGGGACTTTAATTTAGTGGGTTCAATATTTTTAGTAGCTAGAATATAGGTACGGATATAGACACTGTCCTTATTGAGTATGAATYAAATTGTGACTTTCTTTCTAACGTTATGGATTTTTTGATATGAAGCTAAATGACCCCATTTGTTGTGGAAAGCGATAGAAAATATCGATGAAAGTGGCATTCAAAAAACCGTCGAACGATTTTTTTATAAATGAAGTCACTTAAAGATGTATCTTTTACAAATATTCTCCTTAATATGCATTGAAGAGTTTTAAGGCAGCCAAATAAAAATAAGTACAAATAAAAAAATAAGTAAAACCCTTCACTTTCAACTTGAAAACCTGCCAACTCCTGTCCACAAATACCTTCAAATTCACCTGACAATGAAATATTATGAAATATAGATACTTATTTCGACAAAGGATGCATCGAGTCAACGAAAAAACTCATTGTTTCTTTGCCGGATTGAATCAGATTAAGATAAGTTGAAAGTTTGCCGTTGTAAGCTTCAAGTTATAGAGATAACCTTTTAACTTAAGGAAACTGTAAAACTGTTCTTTTGAAGAAAAAAAAAAAGATGTGTATTTCACTTAAAAGTTCGTAGTTTTGTAAGCTTCTGCTGAGTTTCATCACCAATTTTGTCGCCGATTACTTATTTACGTAAAATATCTTGACTTTCAAATTCCTTATGATATTTAATAGTCTAAAGTACGTAGCCTAAAATTGGTTTTGGGCTTTTAACGATTTTTATTTAGAATTATTACTGAAAAATAAAAATTATTTGGTGAAATGGATTTACTTCCGGCAATTTTCCTTTGTTTCGAGAGTCTTTCCACGCTGACGATAGGAAGGCGCGGGAGGGCTCTGGGTACAAGGTATTGGCTGACGATAGGAAGGCGCGCAAGGACTGAGTACGAGATTGGCTGACGATAGGAAGGCGCGGAAGGACTCTGAGTACGAGATTGGCTGACGATAGGAAGGCGAGTGAGGACTCTGAGTACGAGGTTGGCTGACGATAGGAAGGCGCGGAAGGGCTCTGAGTATGAGATTGGCTGACGATAGGAAGGCGCGGGAGGGCTCTGGGTACGATTGGCTGACGATAGGAAGACGTGGTAGGATTCTGGGTACGAGATTGATCTTTTCTTGCTCCAAGTCTACTTATAAATAACTTCATTGAAGAATCCAAAAATATAGAAAATATTCGGAGCACTATTCGTTTGTTGAGTGGCGGGCGAACAGTGCACAATGCCATCCAATCTTTTTGCACTTCTTAGTAATGCTATCCCCCCGCATAATTTTTTTAAATGTTTTTGAACGATAATCTTTTGTCAACATACACCGTGATCAATGCAGCTCTGCTTTGAGAATGTGTCATAGCTTTTTGAACAATATAAAAGTGCACGCACGTGGGAATATAGATAGTCTTGTTCATTGTCTTTGATTTCTTGAATGTCCTGCCTCCGGGAATATCATCATTCAATTCAAATACATGAAGCGAATATGTTAACAAGCATAGTGAAACGAAATATTCTAGGAAGTATAAAATATGGGTATAATAGAAGACTCAGAAAGCTTAACAGTACCTTTTACATGGAGCTTGGACATTAACGAAGTTAGTATTTCTCAGTTGTTGGGATCTGGAGGCTTTGGATCTGTTTATGAAGCAAAATACAAAAACTTAACGGTCGCGTTGAAGCAGTTGCACACAAACACCAAAAACAAGAAAGCAGCAATGCAGAGCTTTAGAGCAGAAACAAGACCTGAGGTTTTATCATTAAGTCATCGGAATATCGTCAAGACTTTAGGAGTTTCGAGTGCCTCCAGTTTGGATGACAAACCTTGTTTTATTATGGAATTTGTAAGCACAAAAACCCTTCAACATCTTTTACATGATCAAGACGAAGTATTTGACGAGTGGAGGCGTATTGAACTTGCAAATCAAATTTCTAAAGGAATGGTTTTTATTCACCAAAATGGTATAGTTCATCTTGACTTGAAGCCTGTCAATGTTCTCATGACAAATGATGGTGTTTGTAAGATTGCAGACTTCGGATGCTGTCAGTACATAGAAGACAGTCCTAACACTCCAACCAGATCTTACCTTACCGGCACTTTTGCATACCGGGCACCAGAACTCCTAAAAGGAGAAGACCCTACCTACAAAGCAGATGTATACTCTTTTGGAATATTGCTTTGGCAGTTGTGGTCCAGAGAAATTCCGTACAAGCTTCAAAACCATCAAGTTGTTATTTTCCGGGTAGTGTCATGTAATTTACGGCCACCTCTCCCCACGGGATTTGAGATTGATAATAGATACATTGATCTAATGACTTCATCATGGTCTGGCAATCCTGAAAATCGTCCAACTATGCAAGATGTTTCAGATATACTCGAAAACTGGAGATAATGCATCACCAAGAAAATGGTACAAAAGTAAGAACTATTTAAATTTCTGTAATTTGTTTTAGAAACTGTTTAGACGAGGAAAAATATGTCCTTAGTGTGGAGGGGGGTAGAGGATGTTCACTGTTTTTATCGCTCCTCAAGGAATGCCAAAACCAAAACCAAAAACTATTCCTTATGTATATTAGTGCACCAAAATGACGCATTTAATTTGCCTTACCCTTCGATTGACTAGTAATTTAATGTTCTACGCCAGAATGCAATTTGTTTGTTTAACTCACATTTAGTTGTCCCTTGGTTTCAAACCGCTTTTATTCATCATGCCCTTACACTCTTGTTTTCTACATAAATATTATAAGATAATAATGTTGTTATGTTTAACATTTATATTTAATTGGCTTTAAAGTGACTGTAAGACTGCAAGAGCATAGTTATATCATTACCGAATCAAAAAAAATCAAATGTACTATGTAATGAAAATAGGGATCGTTAAAACAAAAACAAAGAAGATTCCATCCACCCCCCCCCCTCCCTTCCCCCCACACACATACACTCAACATCCACTACCTCCCCCCAAAATCAACAGGACATCGGTTTGAACAGCAATACAATTGTATACATATAAATAAAATGTCTGTCGTATATTATAGCTATATATATATATTTAATTATCCTTAGAGCGTAGATAGAGTGAAGGCATTTAACCCGTGCAATAGATATTAGACTAATACACATTGGTAGACCTTAATTCCATTGTTTTCTTTTGTGTCTATTTGACTATTACACGTTGACTAATAATTTTTATTTCACGGGTTAAATGCCTCCACTTTAATAAACCCTTTCTAAGGGCTAATAAATAGAGTACAAATAATTGAGAGTGATTTCCCTGACACCGAGAAATATTACTAAATAGTGCTAAATTATAATTCATTTTAAGGAGGCATCAAAAAATATTCAAACAATACAGAACTATTAAGTAAAACAATCAAAAAACATTTCCTTACTTTAAAATACCCAAAAGAAAAAAGTTGTTTTTAGTCATCCTTCCTAGGACAATAATACCTAAAAAAGTCATTTCCACCGGTTTATTCAAAACTTTCGGTTTCATTTAATTAGATTACTTTCTTGCTAGCCTCTCTATTCTCAGATAGTATTGAAATTTTCTTACGTTTTATGAGAATTTCTGTTTTAGCTCTATCTTACCAACGGTTCATTTTAATATGACAGAAGCATTTGGACAATGTCTGTGGAGAGCGTAAAATACGGGTCAGTTTGAATAAACTATATTAATATTCATTCAACTTTTAGATATAAATATATTCGGACTATATAGATGAGAAGTTATAATAAATTTTGAAGATTTTATTCTTTAAGATTATATATATATATATATGTATATATATAGATATTTATATAATGATTAATAATCTGAATGAGAAATTTGATGGTTCTTAATATTTAATATATGTATCCATGGTGTTTGCACTCCGATCGCAAGGCGTCTGGTATATTTATGAATCCCTAGTCATGTGTATCTAGTCGCGGCCGCCGAGTGAGGATCACTACCACCCGGTTCAGTATTAATTTGAACTTGTGATCCGCGCGGTCAGTGAGGCTTTCAATTTTTGAAAAGATACGCAAAGAAAGTGAACATAACAGATTTTAGAGGGGGAAACGCATAAGCAATTGATGGTAGTTGCTTGTACTCGAAGTCTATCCGTGTCTCTAACCTAGACGCAACACGACAAAGGTGAGAGATTCCAACTCACGGGCATCATTACTCGGGCTTTCAAAGAAATGCCCGAGATATAAATTGGGCTTCGTTTTTCACGTTCAGTCACAAATCGCAGTTGCGTTCAAAGCGCATGCTTAAGTTCTATGCGCATGCGTAGTATGCGCCACATAGGCACATGGACGAGGAATGGCGGATTTTTTCAAGGTTTCGTCGCTGACTATAAAATCATGCTATATCAAATCAGTTATCTCATGTAAACCTACGTAGACGTGATCGTGAAGCCAGCAGAATACCAGTACAAACTCTGAAAAGTCTGAGAAACAAAAGCAGAAAGCTGAAAGAGTTTATCTTCAAACGTATTCGTCCAAGTATACCGAAGTCCTCCAAGCTTCATTATATTGTTATGTGAAGGTTAGAAAACTTACAAAAAATGAATGTAAGCTGAATACTAAGAGAATAAGCTTGAATAAAGTCACACAACATGAAAAGAAGCTTTTGTTTAATTGCTCTAACGGGGTTTATAAAGGAATAATGAAGTCGAAATATCATAGAGCTAGTCGGTATTTATCATTGTTTACTTGTAATAGTTTGATGTGTCTCTACAAGAATGAGATCCCTATGTCAAATTATTGTAAATTTAAACTGAGTACAGACATAGAGAAGAACCYTGGTCCTGCTCCAATGTACATTGACCCTTGCAAAACAATAAGACCCAGGTCAGACGCCGTAATTCACATGAGCCGAACCTAATACAGGGTAATAAGGTCATGTGAAGTACGGCGTCTGACCCAATTAAGTCCGACTGATTCAATTTGGACCGACTAAGTCGTTCTTCACGACTAGGTCAGTCGTGAAGAACGACTGAAGATCGACTTCGGGTCAAACGCCGTACCTCACATGGGCCGATCCAAATGCATTAATTATGTTAATGCATGTTTTGGCCTCGTTTTCATTAACCATCACTAAAGCGCATGCGCACTTGAGCATTGTTCAAAGATGGCGGATGATGTGGAGTGCTGCTCGTCTTGCTTTGCGAGTACGAAATATAGTTGTATCCACTGCTCTGTTCCGATTTGCTGGTGAAATTGGTTCCTGCTCTGTCACTGCCTTTCGTAATAACTGATTTTCGATTTTTCTGAGAATGTAAAGGAATGTTCCCCTGGAAACCCTGAATGTTTTCTTAAACCGTTCATCTGCATAATTGTTCCAGACAATTTCAAACCAACCAAAATTACGTGCAAAGCGTTTACATGCTCTTTCACGTACGTCCGTTTCATTTCGCGAAAGCAGAAGAAGAGCAGAAACAAAACATACACGTAGCAGTGCCACCCTTCTTTTTTGCAAAAGTATGATGCTTTTTTTGATGGTAGCCCGTCTTCTTCTTGAATTCAAATTTTTTTTATTAGCAATATCCGGCGAGCTGCCATGGAAGACGCCGTTATGATGCGTTTGCCGCTGACCACTCAAACATGATTGCTTTTGGTACGACTGTAAATACTCGTAATAAGTTCGACGTTTGACTCAACCCAGCCGATCTAATTCCAAAAGTCGATCCAAACTACAATTAGGTTCGGCTCATGTGAATTACGGCGTCTGACCTGGGCCTAACAGTATCTTATAGCCAAGGTAATGAACTAGTATTTGGACAAAATTCTGGACAACAGTGTGTTGCAATGAGTTTGTATACTCTTTGATTTACAATAACAAGCAAGGAGTTAATTCTACCAATGACCTCATGTTAATTATAGATATTGGAAATCAGTTGTATTAAAGTTTATCTCAATTAGCCAGACAGTCCTTTTTAATGCAGTCAGAACTACCACCAATGCTAAATGTGTTTCACACTGACTATGAACTTCAATACAGTGAAAGCTACACTGGTACTATACATCAAGAGGCTCCCATAGAAGGATATCAGTGCTGTACTTCTTTGCAAAGAGCCTTTGAATCACTTATAGCTGAAAACTACACCAATTTTGTGTTATCAATAGGGAGTACTGCAGTTGCTATCTATTGTAATGGTAATGGTAATGTAGGTTCAAAATATTTGATTTACAAGGACAAATACCTTACCGAAAGTCTAACAGACTTTGCACCATCTAAAAGGATCACGAAGAATTCTTTCGATTTTCTGCTATGAAGCCCGAGTTCACGCAGATATGCGTCTAGTATAAGGCTAGGATAGGCTTGCTATTTTCAGCTTTATAACTGTTTTCGGGGTGAGGGGCTAAGCTAGAGAGAAGCCAATAATGGAAGGAAGAGGCAAAGGAGGACAGAAACTGGGGTGCTATCTTTCCTTTCAGCCGTTTTACAGGTGTCAGATATTATGTACGATATCATGAAGTAAATACGTTGATTCAGGCAGCCAATCGAACCGACCTTGAGAACTGGATTACAGCTGTTCATTCCATGGCTGAGACTCTTCTAATGGAATCGCGACAATAGAGTAAAGATGAAATGATTCAAAAACTGTTCGAGAGAATCACCGCACCGACATCGCGGTGGTCGTGGATTCGATTCCCGTTGAAGCCTGAAATCATTTTTTCAGGTCTTTCTTTGCAGCGTTCGCTTAGATCGCTTATTCACTGTGATGATTAACCGGCTCTAACAGAATCAACCAAGTCAACGAAATGATATATTGCTTTGGATTCGTTGTTAAGGAAGATTACCGAACTTTAATCGCTTGTTGTTATGAATACCAAAATAAAGCAGCAGCTCCTTGACTAATTATTGTTTCTTGTTTGTATACGTAGGGTTTCTAATAAATCTGGTGCGCAAATGGGTATCATAATAGTTCTCCACAAAATAAGAAGATGCGCACACACGACACAACAAGACAAGCATGCGTACACATGATAAACTGCGGTACTCGACTGACTGATGCTCGTGGGTATTATTAATACATTCACACAAAATGACAACCTGCGTACACGTGGTAAACTGCTGTACACGAATATTGATGCACATGGGTGTAGACCCCTTGCATGTGACGTCAAAGCAGCTCCATCTGGGAGTCAAAACAAAAGAATTCCAATCTCCTGAGAATCTGTCTTTTGTTAAGCGAACGAAAAGGATATCAAATGGGTGAAGCAGGTAATAGAATATCAAGAAGACACACAGTTTATTTATAGACGATCTTAAGTTTTACAAAGAAAGTCATGACCAGCTTTGTTGTGCAAATAAGATCATCATGAAAGCAAGCAATGATACTGGTGTGTGTTATGGAGTGAAAACAGTGTGCAGAAAAGATGTTCAAACAAGGAAAGATTATTAATGGAGAAGGAGGTGATGTACTTAAAGAAAGAATGAAATTACTAGACCTTGAATAAAACGAATGGTACAAGTTATTTGAATGGTACAAGGAATTGAACAAACTGAAAAGATATACAAAGAAATGATAATTACACAAATAGCAACTGAAATGAAAAGAAGGCTATTAAACTTGACTGTGCTGGAGTTAAGTACGATAAGAATCTGATAAGAGCTATTAAATGCAGAGTAATACACGTAGCTGCGTATGCAATAGATGTATCTAAATTAACAAAGAAAGAACAGAACATGATCATTAAGGTGGCTGACTACTTTTCACCATTCGATTTGAGCCCAGGATGTGCGAGCGCTCAAAAAGCGCTGAATAATCTTCACAATTTTATTGCAGAACCATGCACGTTTTGAACTTCAAGAGGGCAAAACCCTCAAATTTTGCACGGGACGCTACATTTTTTTGTTATTTTCCAGAATAACAGGTGAATATCCTGTTATATTTCAAAGTTTAAGGCAATTCGGTTTATTAGAACAATGTAAAAAATCGTTCTGTTTGTTTTGTGCTCAATTTTTACGATAACTTGCACACCGTAGAACCTGAACAAAAAAAGGTTTTCCATTGTCTACAATAGTTTATCAAAACAACGTTTATCACTATTTTATAAATATAATGTATGTTAAGTGTTCATGTTTCTTCCTTAGTTTTGGTTTTATGATTTTTTTGTACAGAGCTTGATTTACGCTATTTTTCTCCCAAAATTGTACAAACACATGTCATTCCGGGTTGATTATCTCAAAAACAAGCTCGGGACACCCCATTTTTCTTTGCATTTTTTCAGGTAAAAGAAGTTTCAATTTTCAATTTTGTTTATTATTTGTCAAAGTAGTCAGCCACCTTGCAAATATCTCACCGAACTGTGGCGACCCGTCAAAAATTTGTCTCGCTACCACACCCTAATTCGTAAGGTATTCACTGTAATACATGTAACAAAAGTAGGCGTGACAGTAGACGAATTAGGGTGTGGTAGCGAGACAAATTTTTGGTGTGTCGCCACAGTTCGGTGAGATCCCTAATACATAAACACATGCTGGGAACTCACTCAAGTGATTAAAGGTTATATATGCTGCGCAAAGGTGGACGGGGATTCAAAAGTCTGAGGGATGTGTACATGGAAACTAAGGGACTGCTCATAAAGTACCGGGCGAGGGGGAGGGGGACCGGAAATTTGTGACCCACCCTTCAGGCTACGCATTATTACTAGCAATGCAAAAAAAATGATGACCCACCCCTATTTCCATCTCCAATATATTTAGCTAAATGTTCCAAAATAGAGTACAAACACTACAAGTTTGCAATCTTTTGCACAAATTTCGAAAAGTAAGATCAAAATATTGTTGCTACTATTTAGTATTTGTTTTTCAATTGTTGTAGAGTACAAACACTAAAAGTGTGCAACACTTTGCACTATTTAATAGTAAATAGTGCTAATTAAACAATAGGATAAGCATAATTTAGCAGTATTTACTTTGCACACTTATAGTGTTTGTACTTAATGTGGGTTTTTTATTAAAAAAGGCTTTTATATCATCATGTTTAACACTCTTTTGTGTGTCAGTAAGTTATGAACCCTACAAGATGGAATTACCTTTTTGCATGATAACGCATGGCCCACCCCTAATGTTCTGCATAAAGTCTCATGACCCACCCTCTTTTTTCTGCTTGAAAATGATGGGTTTTTATGACTTTTGAAGGTCGTTCAAAAACCCGCAACATGTTGCCGCATCAAAATATCGTTAAACAATTGCAATCGCCATGTTACGCCTTAGTTAATGTAGCTCCTTTAACTATGCTTACACGAGAACAATTTTTCGCGCAACCATCATTGCAATTGTCTCATGTAGCATCTAGAAGTAGGATTAGGAAATAAAAATCTCCCATTCATCATTCGTTATATTTTATTGAAACTCTGGTCAAATAATCGTGTCTACAACATGCAACATATTGGTGTATTACATAATTATTTTTAGGACAAGTAACGAAAAAATATTTGTAAGTTAGGCCGAGTTTGAACGTTGAATTTCACGTGTGGCATGGGTTTCTTAGTGATTTACCTCTCGCCAAACACCGCTGTGATACGGGTTCGAGCCCTGAGTGAGTTTAGTTTGTTTAATGTGTTGTTCTCTACCTTGACACGAGGGTTGTTCTCCGGTATTCCTCCCTCCGTAAAAATCAACCCGAGTTGAGTTGTGTGCATAGAATATCAAATGTAGTGGTAGTGTGTGAGTGACAGGTCTAGGATTTGGTCCATTTATCCAATGCAAATGAGCAAAACCTATTGTTTGAATTCAGACTCCACACACGTGAAAATCGCCGTTTAGACTGGGCCTTAGATTGGAAAATCCTAAAACAGCCACCCTTTTGCAAAACTGAAAATCACTTAGCTTTGATGGTAACGTAAATCAAGTTCCATATAGGTGAAATCTATCGTACTGTTAATTTAAAAAGRTTCTAACACTATTTTAATGCATATATGGAAATTGTTTTACTGGAGCCTCGCAAGGGAACGTTCCGTCTTTATATCCTATCCTTCGCCATTTCTTAAGCTAACGGAAATACAACTTCCCTTTTGAAATGATCATGCCAGCCAAAACCTTAGAATTTTTAGCAGAAATGTGGCCAATAGAATTACAAACAAAAATAGCAGGGGAAAAAAATAAATTTAAAAAAAGAAAAAAGAACCCAAAACCTATCGACTAAAATGTATACTAAAAAGTATACTTGAAAGACTCTTGTGTATAATTAGCTCATTTAGATAATGATAATATTTAGAAATGTTTAATTCTTCTACGTAATTCAATATTATTTTTGTGTCTGTGAGTTTGTATCTGTGAAAATCTAAGATGGCTGTGTGCGCTTTTTTTAAGAAAATCATTCAATAATATGCATATTAAGATTCCATTTTTGCGTTACACATTGTATTCATTGGATGTCCCGGAATCCTTGATTGTTCAAAACTGAACCCAGTCACCTGAATTATTAGAACTGTCAAAAATAAAAATAAAAACACAGCTCAGTAAAAGTAGAGGGCAAACACTATATCCACAAAATAGTACATTTATCTTACTAATATCCGCGAGTACTAATTTAAAAAAATAAAAATAAAATAAAATAAATGGGATTTAGCAGTGGCATTTCTACAGAGTAGCTATTCATCCACTGTCAGTCCAAYTGGAATTTAGGAGTTGATTTTTGCGGAGGGAGGAAAGCTGGAAAACCCTCGAAGCACAGGAGAGAGCCAACAAACAACTCTACTCACATACGACACCGAGCTCAGTGGGACCCGAACCCAGGTCGCATTGATGAGAGGCGAGCGCTCTCACCCGTGCTCCACCCGTGCTTCCCATTTTCGCGATTTATTTTTAATAAGCGCGACAAAAAGATTGCGCAAAATTAGTATATGTAATAGGACTCCATGCTGTCCAATTAAGAAATAATTGGACGAGGAAAATTCCGAGGACTTCCAAAATTGGACGAACATAATGGAAGTATAAACCTTTGAAACTTAAACAGGAAACATTCAAATTAAGAAATATTTTTACATTAATCAACTATTTACTTTATATAGAATCAATACTGAAAGTATTGTAACAGGTATTACTTGCACTTTAATACCCCTGACAGATGCTGTCAAGCACGGGTACTGAGAATCGTAGGACGGGGTTTTTTTCTTATGCAAAAAACTGCTTACCCTTGTGACGTAGATGCAGACGTAAAATCCCCCCATTCATTTACATTAGATGCTGGCTGTTGGCTATGTGTTGGTGGAGCAAACTCTGAGAATTCCGAGAACAGAGCACTTGAGACAGTAGGCTGAGGTTGTGTTTGTTGAACTTTTCTGGATGACAACGGTGATGCTGAACCACCAGATGATGGGGGAGGGGCTAGTTTTGGAGGTTTGGCAGTAATCCCTGGGGGTGGAGGTGGGACAAGAATGCCAGATGCGCCACCAGCTAAAAAAATAAAWAAATAAAAATGTCAGCTAATAAAATGCAACAGATGGTGTACTATTTCATTTGTTTAATTACCTGAACTACATTTAGTGCATACTATTTTTTATTTTTCATGAACTAGAACCAAGCATGAGCTCATAGTCTAATAATTTTAAAGGAATTTGTTTAAAAAATCTGATGATGGGATCATATTTATATATTTAATGCATAATAGAACTTTCCTGAATTTGATTGGGTGGCCACGAAACAATGGTTTGAAGTAAGAGACTGACTTGAATTTTAGCTTGTTTTACTTATAGTATGTTGTATGTTTATCATGCAAAATCTTGATTTATAAATCTGTACCCATTGATGCAATGGTTTGAGTGTCAAAAGATATTCTTCAGTACTATGTATTGGATACAATTTGAATCTAGGATAGAGATATGTTTTTTGGTGATTTTTCATTTCAGGATTTGTTTTCATTTTTGTGTCTCCAGTAGATATTTGGAGGTATTCATATTAATTATTCTCTTTTAGCAGGGAATATTAATCTATGTATTAACTACAATGTTTTTTTATAGCCTTGTATGTATCATAAAAACATTATTAAACACAATTAATAACCCTTTTTTTCCTTACCAGCCTTCGGTTTACTTGTAGATGATTTATTCTAAAAATGTAATAATTAAATAATCATGAATTAATAAAAAGTTGTCAAGGCACCACCAAAACCCAATCATTTTAACACCTGTCTATCTCGAAATTCACCTCCATCCTCAGCCAACAACAATATTTAAGTTATTTCTCTAAATAACTTTTTAATAAACGAGCAGGAGTATCTTAATTAGACCGTATTAAGAAAACCTACAATAATTCATAAGCCAGGTTCGGCCCAATTCTCTACTTTTCCATACCCATAATATTTTGCAGCTTTTGGGGGTAACCAAGGGAAAAACTGCACTTATTTAGCTGAAGGCTGATCAGACAATGTTGAAAATATCTTGTTTGATATCCAAATATAAAACAAAGAAGAAGATTTTTTAGAAGCGTGAAGAAATTCAAAGTAAATTTCAAAATATAGTTTTGTGCAATTATTCCTGAGTTTTTTAAGCTGTTCAATAAACTCACAGATCATGTTTTATCAGGTATAGAAGCAGCCCTAATCGTTTATTACACACTACAGGGTGTACGTAACTTCCCCCCCTTAGGAACTAGATAGCAAGTTTAATTTTCCTCTGTTTCTATGAGCACTCAACCTTAGAAAAACAAAACTTTCTGATCAATTTCATTGGGATTAATAGTACATAATTACATTAACCACTGTGTACCCCTATATTGATGTGTATTGTTTGTCCTTGTTTGAAGGCCAAGTCCAGCTTGGGTTGGTCAGGTTGAGGGAAACTTTTTTCAGCTTCAATTTCTTCACTTTTTTTCACCCATCTGACAAAGAAGCAAAAAAAATCAGATTAGTACAATTTAGAATCAGTATGAAACATCACGATAATGGAATAAATACCCTAAAACTTAAAGGGAGGGGGGGGGGGTGGGTGGGCAGAATCTCTTGAGAAGACTGGGCAACAAGTCCCCAGGACACAATGCAAGAGGAGGATTTTGTTTCTGTTGCAGGATCGAAGAAATCAAACCAGAATTTGTGCATCATGTCGTGGGTTCAAAATAAGTGAAATTTCCATTGCAAAATTAAAAACTGTGAGACCTGCCCTTACAACAACAAAATAAACTTACTGTATGAGCATCCCATAACACTCAGAAAACAAAGGATTCTTGACCCAGTGACCCAGTGTTATTGGGACTTGTTGACCTTTCTGTCCCAAGCTTTACTCTTAACTATAGACTTACTTGAAATGATCTTGTAATGCAACATTGAAATCAAATGCATCGCCTCTATCAGAAAATCCCAGACCAATAAAGGCATGGCGACCTACAATATCAATTAGCCTGGTTGAAACAACTATAATAATCTCTTGGCAATAGGAATGAGAAAAATATTTATATGGCCTAAATCCACTCTATTCTATGCCTCATGATTTAAAATCTGGGGGGGGGNNTTTGCTTGTTTAAATTACATAATGTGATACAGATTTAAATGTTCATTTCTTGATTTCTAGAATTGAATATCTCGGCAGCGAAAAGAGATATCAAAAAGAAAGTAAGGCCATTCTTATTTATTTCATAAGGGCCTTAAATTCATGAGATATCCTGTAGGATTGATAGGCACTTTAAAACTAGACACAAAAGGTGGTCTTATAGCTTGCCTTAAATTGTCATGTTTTGGTGCAGCATTAAAATATGTTTACTGAGAGTAAGATCATTTGACTCTACATTTACTCTATAAAAAGCCTTGCTCACACTAGTATAAGGAGCTTCTTTATCGTAATCCTAGTACATTGTAATTATAATCTTAAGAAGTTTACAACCTATTGTAAATCGCTACAACCCAAGAAGAATCTTAAGCCTCCCTCTTCTAAATTTTCAGCATGGGGTATGTGGTAACAAGCTTGGTAATTTACCAAAAGTTTTTATGAATCATGCTTTCTTGGTTCGCACAGGTGTCCAACTCAGATGTAAAGTGATCATCATAGTTGAAGAAAGGAAACAAACAAAACCTTATTATGACGCTGTTACAATGCACCTTATAATGGTGCTTAAGACCAGGATGTTTGCTTGCACATGACATCATAGCTGCCATCTTGGTTGAATTTAAAAAAAGATACATTGATATTTGACTCCATGATTAAAAACCAGCTATTGGACCCTTTATATATTATACTTCTAAGAGGACAAAATATTTTTTTGCAGAAATGCGGCAATGGTACAGTTTGGCTTGGTTGGGAAGCAAAAAAGTTGGTTTAATTTAATCAAATTAAGTCTTGTTTCTTTCAGAGATATTTTCATGAATTGCAGTCTGAAAAACTCACCAATGCTAGCCCCAACCCGTTCCTGACTTACACCCAAGTGAAACTGAACGAAGGAAAGGTATCAAAAAAAGCTTATTGTAGAAGCAATATTTTTCTTTTTCTTTGAAAGCAAATAATTGAACATTCAAAAGGAAACCCAAAAATAAAATCTGGGAACCCTGTGTGTCATTACTAGGTAAAAATAACTGCTAAATTATCTAGTCATATTTTGTATTCATGACAAAAAGGCCATATATACATGTAACTGGAGAAGGAAGAATAAAAAAGAAATTTGACATTTGTTACATGTAAAGTATACTATGTTCATGTACAGTACCTGTGTCTGCATCTTCAATCTTAAGGACAAAATATCTACTACTGTCAAGGACCGCTTCTACTGCAATTCCAGGATAGTCATCTACATTGCACTTTGCAAACAATTCACCTAAAACACAACACAAAGCATTTGCTTGTTTATAAGCTCAGAACTAGCATAATCAGGCACTTAATAAGCCTTTTCATAGTTTAAGAATCAATTCCACTGCGCTTGCGATTTTATCCTGAATTTCTCACCTTCTTTTGTCTAAACCTTCTTTTGTTTTTAATTAAACAAAAGAAGGTGAGAAATTCGATATAAAATTGCATGCGCAGTGGAATCATTTCTTAAGCTATGAAAAGGCTTATTGTTTTAGAAAATATATTTCACCTAGTTTCCAAAGAAGGATTCACAAGCAAAATAATAGTTGTTGATTCATGCAAGAACACTAGTATAGTGCAAGCAACTGACAAGGCCTACTAAGGCCTAAATATATTTTCTTGAACAAGTATAAGTTGAGTTTTGAAATTTTGCTTAAAATATTACTGCAATTTTTATCAACATGCAAACTCTGTGCCTGCGAGCTGCATGCCTAAATTTGGTTTTTCACTGCTGTCAATCAAACCTAATCAGTTGGTACCTTTCATATTTGTGACTGGTGGCAGCAAAAAAAACAAATTTTAGTGGCAACTCAGCTTTTGCATGTTTATGAGAATAGCAGTAAGGTGGCAGCTTACTATAGAAAAATGAAGCCACTGACCATGCTCCTATAGGCAATGACAATTACACATTATTTGAGGCCAAAATGTGCATGCACACTAAAACTGCTAATAACCTTGTTTAAATTTTTATGAGGATCCATCTTTGTTTTAAACTTCAACGTGACAAAATTCCAAAATTTTAAATTTTCGAAAGAGTACATAATGATGATGATGATATAAAATTCATAAACATGACACACAACAAAGTCTCAGCTTGCTTTACAAAATTGGCAAAAACATTCTGAAAAAGTTTGAAAAAGCTCACAAAGAAAAAGTGGTAATTGTACATTATTTCATTGCACTTGTTCTAAACAAAAAAATGGAAAGCACAAGAAAAATAAAAAATTGATTTTTAATATATTTCTCTACATTTCAAAATCTTTTCTTGAAAAAATGCAAAACCAGCTACACTGTAAACAAGCAATGTATATAATATGCTCCAAAAATCATTGTCAATGAAAGAAAGAAAGACAAACACAATTTAATATTTTTTCTGGCATTTAGCACACAGGGATCCTGAACCTGAAAGCTATTAAGAAGGGTGTCACTGCTTGTTATGCTCAAAGCAAATAGTAATACTAATATATTTCAGTGGCCCTTATTTTTTCAAACAACCCTTTAGTCATTAAAAAACAAGACACACTTGGAGCTTGCACTGGGTTGCCCAATATGCTGGTATGCTGGAGCTTATTTAACACCTAATCTTTGTTATGTACCGCTATTTGGAAGGAAGGGGTACTTTGGAACATTTTAGGTGTATATTTTTTAGAACTTCCGAATACTACTGCAATGTGGTTTTGTAGACATAGAAAAAACATTGCGTTATTGACATCACTAAGTTTTAATATACTCTCAATCTTGAATTATACAAGAATCTTGACCTGACTTTTACGTGACTAAGACTTGTCGTGTCTGACAACATAAATAAATTCATAATTTCAGGAACTCTAAATTTGTTTAGAAATGTGTTTAAATGGTTATTTGTTTTCATTTACTGTTCTGAAGTTCTGGATCTCTCCATTATTGAATATGTATTCTTCAAATAATGTAGTTTTTTAAATATCTAAACCAGTGAAGTGGAATGAAACTTGCGATTGAAGCCAGAATACTGCCGACTAAGTAGCTGTATTAATACTAAAAAATATCTGAATTACGATCCTAGAAATCTTCTTTTACTGCTCAGTTATATTACTTCTAAAGCCCAGAATTACATCCTCAGCTGCAAAGCCAATCTATAAGCCCAGAATCTATGAACACGTCATTCAAATCCAAATATGGGTACTATGGCGCAAGAATGCAACATTCCTGAGAAGGAGACTACAGAAAAAACCCTAAAAAAAGAAAGGCATTTTATGACTGGGCTGCCACTGAAATAAAGTATTACTTGTATATTATATATTAATCTTGCAGCATAAAAATCTTACCCATAACTTTATCTTCTATTTTAATATAGCATTCTTTTCCTTTAGAACAAATCCTCATTCTTCCAGTCCAATCTGGGTTTTCAAGTTTCCAGTCAGCAGCCCTGAGAATGATGAAAAAAGTCTATGATTAAAATGATTAAAAATACTTGCAAAACTACAACATGCCCAATCTAAATCTAGGCAGATAAATTGGTGGTAATTGGTAGTGCTACAAACAATTTAAAGAAGAACAAGGTTACAGTTAAAAGGTTATTTTTTCCAGCACCTCTACCCTGTTTGCTCAGTTGGTAAGAGTGTTGGTCTGTTGATCTTTACCAGGGTGGCATGAGGTCTGGAAGGGATGTTTCCCAGATCAGTTCTGCACAATTCCACTTTGAAGACTATTCCAATGCTTGAGCTTTTTAATGCATTAATGTTGTCCTGTAATTATTTTTTTGTAATTGTATAAGTGTGTGCCTTGCTGAGACCTGTAGCCAGTTTGCTGCCCATCATAATGCTTTTCTGTTTATTGTTTGTTTGTTTTTTGTTCTCCTTTGTAAGTCAAGAGCGATGAAATAGATGACATAAAACGTCACAGATTCATTGATACAGGGTTAGCCTTCACTACTACGCAGTAAAACCCTATGAAAGCCTTATGAAAAGCCCATGAAATAGGATGAACCTATGAAATGCCCTATGAAATTTTTTCATAGTGCTATGAATTTTTTTCTTTCATAGACCTGTGAAATGCTTTGGGCTATTTCTTAGATACCCTATGAAAAAACGTTTCATAGCATTTAGCCATGCATTTAGCAAATTTTCCTTGAAAATATATACCCTATGAAAATAAGGTTCATTGCATCAGCTATGCTATGAAATTTTCCAGATACCCTATGAAAAAAAATTCATAGGAGTATACTAGGCTCTATGCTATGAAATTTTCCTCTGGGAAATTTATTCTCTATGAAAAAAGTTTCATAGCACCACCCACATTATGTTTTTTTTTTCATAGTTCTACAAACTTTATCTTTCATAGACCTATGAAACTATGAGGCTATGGAACTTCGATTAATTCCCAGTTACAATTTAAAAAAGTTTCTTAGCATTATTGCATATAACCATGCTATATCCATGCATGCATGCAACGCATGCTACATGCATGCATGCAAGGTCAAATTCATACACGCATACTGATTGGTAGCATGCATACTGCATGTATACAATGCATGCTATATGCATGCAGAATAAATTATGTGCTTCCATGCATGCATGCAAGGTGAAATTCATGCATGCATACTATGATTGGTATGCATGCAGTATATTTCATGAATTTAATTTTCTGTGGAGAAATCTCTGACAAACCTGTGAATTTCGGATGTTAAAAACTCATTGAAATAGAAAATATGTGAAAACAGCTGAAATGCCTAAAAGTTATATAATCATAATTTTCCTCAAAGCATTTTGAAGGCATATGATCATACTTATGACACTAATCAACAGCTACTGCACAGTAAATTTAACTTGACATTATAAAAGTTTCTTTATAAGAAATCCTAAAATTCAAGGAAACAGTATTATTCAGTGTAGCAGGGTTTTTTAAATCTAAAAGCTATTTGAATATTGAGTTCTGTAGATCATATTCTGTTATGATTAATTACAAGTTTGCAGCATTTGAATCCAAATTATAGCATTTCCTCATTTCACAGCCACAAAATGCTGATGAAAAGTCACCACATTGACTTGAAAACTACAGACTTGTGCTTCACTTTTCTGCTGGTTAGCTCTGCTGTTTCAGCTTAAAAGAGCTGGATCTTAGCCTGGATCTTAGATAATGATGACCACTTATGGGCTCTGGTCTATATGGCTAAAATGCCAACTGGTCTGTAAATAGCTCTTATTAACCGAAAGCCAGGTCCGTATCATAAGTTATGGACTGAGTTTTTTCCACTGCCTTATGGCCCAAGCGCGTAGTGCGCGGGCTATAAAAAAGTGGAAAAAACGAGGATCCATAACTTAGGGTACGGACCAAGCAAATGAGGTTAATAAGATATTTATTATATGGTAAGGCACATGAGATTAAAAAGAGGCGAAGCAACAAAAAGTAAAGTTGACAGCACATGTCAAACAAGAACTGCATTCGAAGGGCTTCCTGTATGTGCCAAAATTTAATCAGATTCTGATTAAAGAACTCTGACTTAATGTTTTTGAGCTGAGGATTTGATTTTACAGGTTTTCTCAAAACTTGCAATGTAAGGCTTTTGAAAGATTCTTTTCACAGGTTTTTCACAGGTTTTGAAACCTGTGAAAGTGTATGTTTTCACAGGTTTTCTAGGTAGTGAAAACCTGCAAAAAAATTTCACAGGTTTTTCACAGGTTAGATTTTTACAGGTTTTTTCACAGAATTTTCTCAGGTTCTGGAACCTGTGAAACTGTTCATTTTCACAGGTCTGGATGCTTGAAAATCCTGTGAAAATTCTGTAAAAAACCTGTAAAATTTCAAAAATACAGATCACAGTTTTTTCACAGGATTTTCACAGGTTCTCAACCAGTACTGTATACTGCACTCGTGGACCTGCCATGTTGTTGTTTGTGAACAGATTTCTTAAGGATGATTTTCCCCAAAAGTTATGATGCTTTCAGCATCAACAGGGTGATTGGACAGGTGGCAATAGAAACCAGGGCTGGACGGCATCCGACAAGCGACTTGATTGTCTAATTAAATAATGATTTTCCAGGAAGTTCCTGCACTCAATTAATTAATCTATTTTGCTTCTTTCTAAAAATGTTCTATTTTCATAAGTCAATTTTCATTAAATCAATTTTTTTTACACTTTTTGTATTTCAAAATTAGTATTCATGGTCAACATAATTATATTGCCATTTATTGTAACTTACAATTTTCTTGGCACCAATCAAAGCATTTATTTTCATCAAAATGTTTTAATTTCGTTAATAACTGTGAGTTTTAATAAATCATTCATTTAATTCAAATCAAACTACTATTCTAAATGCATGAAAATCTCATTTTTGGACAGCAATTGTTATTTTGCATGCCATTTTCTATCGACTACCAAATTAATTTCAATTTTGCTAGCATTTGCAAGTTTCAATTTGCAAATTTCATTTTGCATGCATGCCAATTTCATTTTGTGCATGAATGCAAATTTCATTTTGTGCATGCATGCAAAATTTATTCTTCCATTGCATGCAATTCAGACATGCAAAGTTTTGCATGCACGCACAAAAAGGTGCCAAATTGCACATGCATGCTATAGTTTGGAAGGGATATTATTAATATAGTTTTTATGATTTACATTATTATACATTATACACTTTTTGGTATAATACATATTTATAATTATTTTATTCACATTTACAATTATATATTTATTAAAATCACATTTATGGGATATAAGAATGAGTTCACAGATTTTCTTTTGCATGCTGTTTGATGCTTCACAGGTAAGGTAAGGGCTACGCCCCCATGCGAACATTGAAAATATGAAAATACTATGAAAATACCCTATGAAATACCAATGAATGTCATTCAACTCCATTGGGTCTCCATATGAAATGGCTATGAAAAGCCTATGAATATTTCATGGGCTTTTCATAAGGCTTTCATAGGGTTTTACAGCAGTAGTGCTTGTATCAGTGTTTAAGGTATTAGGATACGAAAAAATGACTATTTGCTCGAAAATGTTTTTTTGAAAATTTCGTAACTTTAAACTTTTGTCTTTCATATGTTTGTGTAACTTCTTGCAATTTTTGATTGGAAAAGCCAAAATTTTGAGAAAAATCAAAATTGTGACTTTATCAAGACCGGAAATGTTCTGTCACTTGCAATAACGTTGAGTCCAAATGCTCCTTTGTCCTTGTAAAAAGATCCCCCATTGCGATCGTCCAGAACAACAGATAATTTGACAAGTGTTGACAAAATGGAAGGCTCAAGGTGTTTTGGCCAACACCATCGTGGCTCCCTGCAGCTTCCGGCTCCAAACAAAGAAATGCATTTTTCTCGATTTTTTTTTTGCCTCTAAAACCTCAACTTCAAAAAGCTAAAAGTCCCTTGGATTTCATTCAATTTTTCTAAAATTTGGAGAGTTTATAAAGTAACTCATGATCCAAAAAAGGGTGTCTCCGATTTTTGCAATTTAATTTCTTTCCAAAGTTATGATGCTTTTTAATCTAAACAACACTCCAAAAGCAATAACTGAACTTTGATTGAAAATAGCGAGAGATATAAAACAGATATCCAAAATCTGGGACACCCTTTTTGAGTTTATTATCTCCTGAGTATGTTAAGCCATTTTTCGCAAACATAGCTTAAAATGTATGTGTCCGTTAGTGTTTACACTGAGGCATGGTCAAATTTTGCTTCGAGGACAATAATGTGAACAACAATTAAAAAAATCGTTTTTTGAAGATTTCTTCATAAACTATGTTTACTCAGCTTTCAGAAAATGTATGCTTTGTTTGTGTTATACTATAAAGCCAGCGCATTATTTAAGTTTGCGGGCATAGTGGTCGTAAACGTATCCTAAAACCTTAAATATTCACAAATTCATGAAGTAAAGAATGCACAACTTCAACAAAACAAACATTTTGAAACTCAATGAGCAGTGACTGGAAAACATGAATGTTCTGCACAAAATCGAGGCTAACCCTGTGTGATGATTCTGATAATAAACACAGCAGTAATTTGGAACTTGAAAATGGTACATGTATATTGATAAGCATTTAATTATCGATCTGTTAATATCTTAGTGAGTGAATAAGTGACACATTTGCATATTCAGATCCCTCACAATAACTCGTTTCTTTGTGTTTACAGTATCTACTATAATTCACCAAAGTTGGAGGGTAGTTTATTTATTTTGTTTCTACCAAAACATAGAAAAAACTGCAGTCATAATGCACAACTTCTATGATTATAAGCTTGTGTTCTTGATATGTAAGCTTACATTTTAATTTAAGCTTTCCTTTAAGATATGAATAAGTAAGTTTCTGCTATTAAACTTACAGATCAAATTTCCTAGCGGCACTTCGTGCACTAATTAACTTAATTAGTTGTCTTCCAAATCATTTTTCTAGCATAACTACAGTTGACTCTTCCATAAGCGACCACCCTGGGGCCAGGAGAAAGTGGTCGCTTATGAGAGAGTTAACACAGGAAGCCCAAACAATGAGAATCCCAAACACAGGAAGCCTAAACCATTTATAATTTGTAACTCACATGTTAAAACTACTGTATTAACGATTAACTGTTTTAATCAAAACCTTGAATGTGTCATATGTTTACAGTACTGTAATTGTCAATATTTCGTCAGGTTTTTAATACCCAATGACTCTATGTTCTTAAATTTTTTATTGTTAAAGGATCTGTCACCATTACTAGCTCTCTTAGGTGGTCGCTTACGGGAGAGGAAAAACACTGAAATATTCCAAATTTTAACCCCAAAGGTGGTCGCGGTCGCTTACGAGAGAGCTTTTTTAAAGAGTTTATATGGGGATCAAAACGGGAATTTCAAAAGGTGATCACATACGGGAGATGGTCGCTTACTAGAGTGGTCGTTCAAAGAGAGTCGACTGTAGTTCACAAAATATTAATATTCACGTGTAAAGTGCTTATAATTTTCATGAAACAAGATATATGAATTAAAGAACTAGCCGATAAACAATAAAGCAGTTGTACTACTTTGGTGTCAATTTTCTAAATAAAGACAAAACGTCCAACTTGAATAAATCCGAACGGTTTGATTGACGAAAGAGAATAGCCAAATATTCAATGCGATATAAACTGAAACTGAACGTAATCATGAACAAAGTGGTAAAGCTTGAAGTTTTCCAAAGAGGTGATCACCATGAGGATAGACGATGGATTGGTATGGCCATAACTTATATCAGGAGATATATTATACTTTAAATTTCGCTAGTCAGAGACAACTTTAAATTATAATGAATCAGGAGATTATGTTTACTTATGGGTAGTAGGTGAAGCAAAATTGCGTATGCAACTTACCTATATCCTCTACTCGAAGTACGTGGCGGTATTCTGTAGATAAAAACTTCATTTTTAACGCATAGAACGCTCTCGTACTCAGCATCAGCCATTTTGATTACAATCTCGTACCCAGAGTCCTCTAGCGCTTTCCCGCTCGTTTAAGCATTTTGATTGGCTATCTTAAAACAAAGAAAAACTAGACGCCCTTCGTGGCGTGAACTCGGGCTACCATAGTGTATTTGATGAAGTATAAGCACTTGGAGCCCCAGCCAAGTTTTTTGGTGTGTGGTTTGCATGATGGGAAACAGCAACTTCTCAAAGGAATACCATTACATTGGCATTTGAATTTGTAATATTACTGTTGTTTCTTTGATGATTATCATCTGCAACTTTGCCAATCACTTCACTCTGTTTAGTGTGGGTTTGTGCATTAAAAGGATTTTCAGTAGCATTGCCATGTATGCATGTCTCAGTAATACACACTCCTCTGAGTTCAAATAAACCTGTTAAATTATTGTCATATAAACTTTGGAAGTAATTTATTAAAGTCATCAACATCGAGGAGTACACAAGTACCTTGAGGATGGGGGAGACCTGATGGATTACAAGCATGAGAGTAAAATATCCTAAATCTCGCATCACCATTACAGCAAATAGCTACTGTATTACATTGAATAGTTAACAGAAATGACTGGTAATTTTCTTCAATTAAAATTTGCAAAGCATTACCTAAGGGCATGCACTAGAGTAAAGGAAATCGACAGTAGATAAAATAATATATATTTGGGCACTGCCTAAAAGCGGAGCTCCCGATACGGAAGTCACAGGGAGAACAATTTGAATGAAACTGAAAGGTAAAAATAAGATCGGCGAAAAAATCTTCAATTATTTTTTATTCGAAATGCACTTTGCGACTTTCTCGGTTCTATAGGGATGTGAGAGAAGGGTCATGACTCAAATTTGGCGCTGGAAAGAAAATTCGAAGATGTACGAGGTTTCAAAGACCCGTGATGGTTCGCTTTTGGGACTCGAGTTTCCAACCTTCTCTTATTTCTTAGTGGTGGGGAAAAAAATCTTAAAACGGGCTAAATTCAAAAAATAACCACGCAGAGCGAAAGAAGTGCTATTTCCCAATGATCGGGTAGAATTTCGAGGCTTTATTTCACGTTTCAATKATTTTATTGAAATTTTTGATGAATTTTTGCTTGGGCTACCTGTGGTATACTCTCCAACTTAGGAATTTTGTACACAACTTACCACCATCGCCAGGGGCTAGTTTTGTTCATGGAAGATTGTTCGACAAAAAGTTTTCCAAGGCCGACAGTTTTTAGCCTCCATTGCAGCCGCTGTGAGGCGCTTCCGGTTCCCGTCATTCCCCCACTAGCGTCTGCTCTTGAACAACATTCCTTTCTTCAAAATTGACCAATCAGAGAGAGCCCTACAAAATCTTGTGGGTATGACCTTGACCTTGGTACTGTATTCGGCGTAGTCTTGAAGATCTTTCAATCCACCAAGTCTTTCTAATATACATGGAATATCCAACTGACTTCTACCAAATATTCTTATACGGCTTTTCTTAGATTCCTCTTTCTTACATATAAAACATATATCATTAAAATTCGAAACTTTTTTGGGCGTATTTTCCGCATTTACGTGATACATGCGCAAACTGCAAACTTTCTTATGACATTTTGCACGGGAAAATAGAAAATTTGCATATCATCTAGCAATTTGATTGGCTAATAGAAAACAATGAAGAAAGGAATGTTGTTCAAGTTTGAGCAGACGCTAGTGGGGGGAAGACGGGAACCGGAAGCGCCTCACAGCACAGGTAGCCCAAGCTTGGTTTCTGTGGTGTCCTGCTATAAGGAAATGTATGGAGATTCATCAAAAATTTCAATAAAATCATTGAAAGGTGAAATAAAGC